AAGGAGCAGGGAGCCCGATGCGGGACTCGATCCCAGGACTCCAGGATCATGACCTGAGCCGAAGGCAGACGCTTAACCATCTGAGCCACCCAGGCGCCCTAAACTAAAATTTCTAAAAGACGTAAAGGCAGACATAGGAGGGGGGGGAAGCAAAGAGTGGCTTCCCTCCCTGTACACACCCACCCAGAGGAATGGGAGGGCAGGCCCCAAACAGAGTAGACCCCCCCACAGGTGCTGACTGCCAGGCCAAGGCTCCCCCTGATGTCTGTGTGGTGTGGGCTCCCCCAGCCGTGCCCCACCAGGCACCCCAACAGTCCCACCTGCACCAGAAACCCAGCGCCCCGCCAACCCCTGAATCTAGCGGGCGGGTGTGACCACTGTCCCCATGGGCCTACTCCCAGCTGCCACTCCCTGTTTGTCCCATCCTGCTCAGAAGGGAGGCTCATTTTGTCTGCATCTGACCGAGGTCAGGGACTTCCGCCTGGTGGTGAAGCTAGAGTCCCCACGTGGGGGCACAGAGCAGGGCGGGGCTGAGACAGGTCCCCTCCCTGCGAGTCCTGCCAGCTTGAGGGGAGAGCCAAAGCCGGGGGCCTCACGGACGGCTGGGGAGACGGCGCCGGCCTGCCTGTGCTCCCATCCCCACACCCAGCCTTCGCTCTCACCCGGCCAGCGAGGCCCCACAGAGCCAGCCCAGGCTGTGCAATCCTACCACTCACAGGGCTGTGGGCCAATGGCTGGCAGGAGACCGTGGCCCCAAGAAGGACAGGGAGGTAACGGGCCTTGCCAGGGAGAACCAAGGGCCCTGGCGGCCATCCAGAACCAGCCTGGGGAAGGGGCAGGCCCAAGCCTCACAGCAGAGCTGGGATCGGAACCCAAGCTGGAACCCAGGCTCCACCAGCCGACGTGGCTTCAAGGAAAGGCAGGCTGAGGCAGGGAAGATGGCATGCTGGGCCGGCAGCATGGACATGGAGGGTGGGGCACGCAGGGGCTGAGTAGAGGACAACCCGGGGGCCCCAGTGGACCCCAGCTTCTCTGGCACCTGAGGCTGGGGGCAAGCGGGGCCAAGTCCAGAAGACTGGGGTGCAGTCCAACGTGCTCACCATCCTCACAGCCTCTAGGCTCAGGGCTGGAGACCCCAATTTGTAAAGTCAGCATTTTCCCCACCCTACCCACAGCCGGGGGTGACAGCAGAGCCCCAGGAAAGACTGGGCTGTCTGTCTTACCTGAGCTGGACACCCTGGAGTGGGGCCATCTTTTCTCAGGCTGGGAGGTAGTTCAGATCCTGTCTCTCAGCACAGCAAAGGGGATCAGGGCTGTGTCGGGTCTGGGGGAGGGGAAGGAAAGTCAAGGTCAGTATACTTCCTTGCCTTACACACACACACACACACACACACACACACACAGAACTGACACACTCACAACCAGGCTCCAGAGCCCGCTCCAGGCTGCGTGGCCACCCACACCCCCAGAGACTGGACAGCTGGGGCCCTCCTGCCACGGGCCCAGGATGCGGGCAGGCACTGGCTGACTCAAGTTGTCGTCCAATCCATCTTTATTCCCATTTCACAGAATGGGAAACTGGGGCCCAGGCTGCCGGTCACAGAGCAAGGGACCAGGACAGTGAGATTCAAGTGACAGAAACTGGTGCTGGGCAAGGGGGTCCCTGCAACCAGATGAAGTCAGAGGCCGAGGGAGGGAAGGGGCCTGCTGAGGTCACCTGCTGATCCAGGCAGAAGAGGAAGGAAAGGGCTCCTGTGTCCTGCCTCCCAGGCCAGGACACTGAGCTACTCTCCTTTTACTACTGTAGCGCCGTCCCACACATCCAGGCCAGGGAGCTGCGGGAAAGCACCCCATCACCTGGGGTCCCCTCCCCAACCCAGCCAGCCAGGCTCCTCTCTAGGGCCAGGATTTGCAGAAGAAACTAAAAAATACTCCTGAGCACCGGTTAAGCATCTGCCTTTGGCTCAAGGCATGATCCCTGAGGGGTCCTGGGATCGAGCCCCGCATCAGGCTCCCTGCTCGGCGGGGAGTCTGCTTTTCCCTCTCCCTCTGCCCCTTTCCCCCACTTGTGTGCGCGCTCGCACACTCTCCCTCTCTCTCTCTCAAATAAATAAATAAAATCTTAAAAAAAAATACCCCCGAGCAAAGGATGGTCTTTACAATAAGTGATGCTGGGTCAACTGGACAACCACATGCGGGAAAAAAAAAAAATCACGATCCCGCCTATAGTGGGTAGAAATGATGACTTTCCTTCCCCTCCCCAGACCCGACACAGCCACGATGTTCATGTCTCCATCCCTGGAAACTGTTAACATGTTAGCTTCCACATGGCAAAGGGGAGTAAGGTTGTAGATGGAATCAAGGATGCTAGTCAGCTGACCTTCAGATGGGAAGATTATTCTGGATTATCCAGACAGGCCCAAAGGGATCACAAGTGTCCTTCGAAGTGCAAGAGGGAGGCAGGAGGGACAGAATCAGGGAGATGACAGTGTGCCAACAACTCAGTGCAACATGGCTGGTTTTGAAGACAGAGGAGGGGGCCACCAGCCAAAGAATGTTGGCAGCCTCGAGAAGCTGGAAAAGGGCAAGAAACAGACCCTTCCCCGAGCTTCTAGAAGGAACAAGGCCCTGCCAGCATCCTGATCTTAGCCTGGAGTGATCCATTTCAGACTCCCGGCCTCCAGGATTGTAAGATGATAATACATTTTTGTTTGGAGGCCAGTACATTTGGGGCTACTTGTCAAGAGTAGCAAAAGGAAAGGAATACGTTGACTTCACCTCGTACACAAAAATCAATTCCAGGTGGACAGCAGATCTAACTGTGGAAGGCAAACCAATGCAGCTTTTAGCAGAACACATGAGAAAAAAGTCTTGATGACACTAGGGTAGGCCAAAATTTCTTTTTTTTTTTTAAAGATTTTATTTATTTATTTGCGAGAGAGAATGAGATAGAGAGCATGAGAGGGGGGAGGATCAGAGAGAGAGGCAGACTCCCTGCTGAGCAGGGA